GAGCCTCCTGGAGAATAAAGACTGAAAATAACCAACTCACCCGGGCATGTACTGGGGAGGAGGGGCAAATGGACGGTTAGTTTATGAAGTTTATTATTCATTTTAAAAGTAAATAAATGGTTGTTAACTGCTAGTAACCACCTATCAAAAGAGAATGATTTCACTAATATGGACTGTTTACGTAGTGGAAGAATTACCACTGGGTCAAAATGAGAAATTTAAACAATCCCATATAAGGGGTGGGGGTGGGGTGGGGGGTGGGATGGGTGGCCACGCAGCCCGCCACGGGTGCAGTAGGTTGAGCCCTACTCTTTCTGCGCACCCACGTGTTTAGAAACTAGGCCCCATAAACAAAAGGTGAGAGTGCGCGCTGTCACTCCAGCAGGTGAGTCACTCAGTCACAGTCACCTAGTAAAGCCAACCCACGGCTGGTTTCTCTTTTCAAATAGAAAATAGAATTGCTGAGGGCGGGTTTATAGGGTGACATGGGCCTGAATGTCAGACTTGAGTTTAAGACACTCTCTTCCAACCCATCCCTTTGTTTACAAAGCAATCACAGCTAAAAGGCTTATTTTTTAAAACGAATTTGCCTTAATTAAAATATTTGTATATTTTCCTGAGCTTTGGGAAGCACTCTTTATAGCAGCAATTTTATTTAAATAAAATTATAAGCTATTCCAGCTTAAACATGTTATTTTGTACCATTTAGCTGGCTGCCATGCAGAAATTCTGTACAGCTGTTCTGGAAAATTGGTTAATAACCAGTTTTATCCAATGAGAACACAGAGCATATTTATAAAAATTAGATTTTGAAGTCTGGTCTCTTCAATTCACGTAGTTAATTTCCTAATAAACATATACTGCTCATCCTAGGTTAAGGTCCTTAGCAAAACACTAAACTCTGTACTTAGGTTGTCATTATGTACAAGAATAATTTCACTGATATTAGATGAATAATTCTGTTGGATGTAATCTGAGTCTACAGTTAGTTTAGTGCCTTGAGGCCTTAAATTTGCTGATATTAGGAGTTCATTAAGTCATCTTACAGAAATCAGTGGTTATTATTAAATAATTCACTTTACAGTTACAACTCCAAATACATATATAGCTTAGGGAGCTAAAATTAATTATTATATTTACTGCATTAATGGTTAAAAATTTGGGGGGCAGTACACAAATTGTTCAAGCAGTGGAGTCAGCATGACAAAAATAATCTTGTTTTTATTTTAGATTCAGATTTCATTACTGCACTCAAACGACTACAACTGGGCTTGGCGTTATTATACAATCCAAACTGTTTCCGTCAGAAACGCTAAGACTCAGTGTGCAATGATTGTTATTAATAATTAGCTCCTTGGTTTCTTGATAGAAAAAGGCTATCAACAAGCATTTGTTTATCCACAACAAAAAAGTATAATTAGCTTATCCCACTTAGTAAATCTTGTATGCATGCCAACTCATACCAAACTGCTACTTTTACAAAAAAAAAAAATTGCAATAATACAGTTCATTTTTCCAGTCCTTTTTGCACAAAATTTATTTACAATGTCTACATAAATGCTCCAAGGTGGGACTATGGAAAAATACACACATGACCGATGCTTTGCTCAGAAATAAAGTCAACATATTAAAAATAAATCTTCAGTCTATGTTTTTGAGCTGCATAAAACAGGAAGTGATGTATAAGGTGGTGGTTGTTGTTGCATGGGGACAATGATGCTTGATGTGACAATTAGGCTTCTAAACACACGGCCTTTTGGTTTCCATGCCTCCTCCTACCAGTCTCCTTAAGACACTGCCTGCAACAGCTGATTAATCATTGTTGATGACTGCAGTTTTTCCCATCCTTCCCGATTTACATCTGTTCAGGCCAATTCAAATATGGTGAGTAAATGAATTAGACATGCAAATTCAAGCCCCAGGCTAGAGAGAGGGAGAGAGAGGAAAAGAGAGAGAAAGAGAGAAAGAGCGCGCATGGCTGAAATCCTAGGCGAGAAGAAAGATTCTTCTGCCTGATAGTTATTTTAATGCTCTAAAAATCCTGCAAATCAGACCTTCCTGTCCCTTGCAGGATAACTGTAAGGCTTTTTAATGTAAGGAGGCTTCTGGAGGAAGTGAAGAGCTATGGAAACAACACACATAGTGTGGAAAAATTTCACATTTTTTTTAAAAAATCTATAAGAAACAACGTAATATGGATAACAGTATAATAGCATTTACAATATTTCACTCTTTGTTCTTTTAATGTCTTATATAGTTATTTAGCATGTCCCCCAAATTGACTTCAGTTGGTATTTCCTGCTTTTTAAGAGTCCCTATGAAGAATTAGGGATGCTCCTTGGTCCAAAGTAGATGCCAAGAATGGAACTCCACAGTCATTGCAGAAAAAACATGATTTGAAATCAGTCACCATTGCAGACAATGCATATTCCCTTAAGCTACTGAGCATGAATGTCCATGACTTGTCCACTCATTGTTGGGTCTCCTGTATTAAGAACCGTGGGGCTTGATGCTGACATTGGCATTCCAGGGTGGGGCGGTCCTCCATGCATCATCACTGTTGGGTGGTGAGGGTGTCCAGGAATGTACGTATGCATGGGGGGCCCATGACGCAGCTGAGCAGGATGGGGGGGCATCTGGGGTTGGGTATAACTTGGCTGTCCCATACTCACACCCATTGGACCACCCCGGGCTACATACTCCCCTGGCATACTTTGCAGCCCTGTAGAAATTCAAAAGAAAGAAACAAAAAAAGAAAATATTATGAAAACGCAATACTGTGATTCTGGCTATGGCAATCCTATGAAAAGCCAGGGAACGTTGTGATTGAGGGAACATGGCTTCGTAAAGCATTCTTTCGATTCACACAGAAGAAAGTAAAATGAGAAACGTCATGCTGGAAACTCAATTTTTGCCACCATTTTCCATGCATTGTCACTGTTACCAGGTCCACCTACCGAGGTCTTATTTATTTAAAAAGAAAAAATGAAACTGTTATTTGAGATCTGGTCTAAAGAAGTACTTTTGTCCCTGGTACATTCTCTATCAAGAATACACTGCTCTGGTCACCAAACATCTTACATGAAGCTGAACTGGACAGGCTCAGCCAGGGTGATTACTTAGCAAATCCTGTACTTTCAAAAATAAAAAAATCCAAACAGTTATCAATAAATTCTTTCCACATGGTTTCCTAGAGCTGGAGGGAAAGAAAACCTTCACAAAACCCTGTCCACCTTACAATGATCTTGAGAACAATAAGAAAAATTGGACCTAAAACAATACCCCTCCTGCTTTGAGGGGGCCTCTTGTCTTCTGCATGGATTGCTATAGTTGATGGAAACTGACAGGTGTATTGTTTCTGAGAGCTATAAGCTCCATAATCATCAAGGGTGAAAGGCATAACGCTATTGCTAAGTAGGTTCAATTGGCTTTAGTTCTAAGTAATAGTGCACTGTGAATACGATGAACACCTTCGAATAAGGTCTCCAGGCTCTAGCAATGAATGGCTGCTTAATCTAGCCTAAAGGAACATTTTTGAACTAATGAAAATTGCTTATAAAATATACTGTACCCACAGCTCTTTAATCAAAAAAGATGATAATAT